TTTTCCTTCTTTATCAAAGACAAACCCTTGAGAAGAGGTTACACCCTCAGTTTCCTGGACTTCTGCTCTCCCTTTTGTTTAAATCTCCCAACTCCTTCCCTTTCCTTCACTGAAGTCATCCTCACCAAGCCCTGGTGAGGCTCTCATATGAAATATACCACCACCAACTCCATCCTTCTATTGATTAACTTCAAAGAAGTTCTCTACCCACCCACATTTTATTGTAAGTGCACAGGTGTGTTGCCTGCATGTGTGTTTGTGCATCATGCAGGGCCTGCAAGGCCAGAGAGAGCATTTGATCCCCTGGGACTTTAGTTACAGTTGGTTCTGAGTTACCATGTGGGTTCCTGAGAGCTGAACCCATGTGCTCTGGAAGACCAGTCAGTGTTCTCAACCACTACATCCTGTCCCCAGCCCCCAGTCATGCTTTAGGCTGTCCCTTCTGTCTTGTGATGTTCTCCCCATCCGGTCCTTCAACGCTCCTGTGACTCCCATCTCTCCAGTCACACCTTTGCGGGCCCCCTTCCCTCTCATGTGGTGCAGGTGTTCCTTAGAGGTTTGCTCTGGGTTTTCCTTTTGGCTTCCTCATCTTGCTGCATAGCAAGTGTTTTTATGCCATTAACTATGAATCCAAATTTCTGGCTTTCACTCCTCTGTGCAGTCCCATACCCACATCTGCAGATGTTTCCTGGACATCTAGGCCAACAATCCTTAAACTCATCACATCTAGCACTCACCCCAACACCATCCCTTCAATATCAGCTCTTAGTAGCCATACGCAAGTTCGCCTAGTCAGTGGCATCTGCACCCATTTGCCAGTCAGCCAGGAATCATAGCATCAACCCAACCTGTCAAGCCTTCATTGACAGACTGTTACTTCTTTAAATTATCTTAGGATATTGTGACATATTACTGCCTCCGTAGACTAGCCACAAAGATCTCTAACTTGAGCAGATTCTCACTGTTTCTAGTTCATCTCCTGCCAATCGCCATCATACAGATCTCCTCATTACAGTTGAAGTATACATGTTCCTAAGTATACATGTTCTCATTTTATCCCCTGCTTCAGTTGAAGGAAAGATTCCCCTTCCTGACCACAGGTTATCTCTCTTGACGTGGCTTTAACCACCCACCCTCCCCTGAAGCTTTAGGTCATCTCCAAGCTCACATTCTTTTAATATTTAAGTAAGCTCTATTTGTCCACATTTCAGTGTGGTACTTTGCTTGTTGGAAATCTTTTTTTTTTCTGACTATTATTTATCTGGCAAGTATTTTGTTAGTTAATTGTAGAATTATTGTGGCCCTAAGGACAGAGTAGTGAACAAAATTTAAAAAGTGCCTGTCCACCAACATCAGGACTGTTTTAATCACGTTCTGAGTCATTTGTCACGAATGGCATCCAATTAGAGCTTATTTGTAGCTCGGAGGGAAATTTTTCACCACACCCTCCCTGGGGAGACATACAGAGTGGCTCACCATACTAAATGAAAAGCTGAATGATGAGGCTGGTAGAAACAATACTCAAGAAAAGTGCTGGGATCAAGCAGTAATCAGCCATTGGAATGAACCTGGGAAACTTGGATTGGGTCCATGTGGTGCTAAATTGTTGTGACTCAGCCCTAACTACCTTCCTAAGATGAGGAAACGATACAGGGTGACTTCTATGATTCCCATGGCTCAGATTCAAATCTTTTAGTAAAGCAGTAAAAACTAAACTTTGCATGTCAGCTGTGCCAGACGAATAGGTTATAGAGAACTAATGCAGAGAATGGGGTGTAATTAGCAAGACTTTCTCACATAAAATTTTGCTAAGAGGGCATATTTCATGTATTCTTATACAGGGGGGTGCAAATTATGGAAGGAAATAAGGTTGACTTGTGATTATATGTCCTATGGTCTAGCAACTGGAGGTACTCAAGGTGATTTAGTGGTCAGAGAGGAGATGGTGGTAATTAGGATTATGGTTGCAAAAGAGATGGAGAAAATACTTGGATCCAAGATACCTTGGTGGGAGGAGACTAATGTTATTTATAGAATAAAGTCATTATCGGATGGAGATAGTGCTGGAGAGGGAGCTCAGTTGGTAAAGTACTTGCATTTTTAGCAAGAGGACCCGAGTTAAACCCCAGAACACACATTTAGAAGGACAGCTCTGGTGGCACGCACTTGTATTAGAGGAAAAGAGCAGCCGCCGAAGTCTTGAGAAGGGAGGCCATAAGGTAAATGGAAAGTGGAATTTGCCGCTGTTGTTACAGAACAAATAACCAATCTTCTATACAGATGTCTGGCCAATCTTCACATTATCTACTTTCATCGTCCTGCAGTTTTTAAGATTTTATTTTTATTCATATCTATACACGCCAGCATGTATGTGTGCCAAATGTGTATGTAAGTACTCACAGTGGCTAGAAGAGGGCATTGGATCCCCTGGAGTTAAAATCACAGACAGTTTTGAGCCATCTGGCATGGGTTCTGGGAGTTGAACCCAGGTCCTCTGTAAGACCAGTACTCACTCTTAACCACTGAGACATCTCTCTGGTCCCATTCTTATATCTGGACCCTCTCTCTCTCTCTCTCTCTCTCTCTCTCTCTCTCTCTCTCTCTCTCTCTCTCTCTCTCTGAGATGGAGTTCACTATGTAGGCCTGGCCTCAGCCTCAAAGATATCAACCTGCCTCTGCCTCCCAACACTTTGGTTTTGTTTTGTTTTTTATGTAGGTGCATGCTTTCACAGCAAGCAATTTACCAAGTGAGCTATCTCTCAAACCTCCCTGTGTATATTTTGATACTCCTGATTTAATCTATCGCTGTCATAAACTTCATAGATAAAGAAACCAAACCTTATGGTATGTTAGCAATTGCTAACAACCCAAACTATATTTTGCTCCTGTTCTCCACGATGTTTATTTCCTTGTGTATAGTAGAATCTGTACAGTTAATTCTATTTCCCCAGGATTGTTAGCAAGTCCTTCACACTGTGTGCTAGCTCAAGTCCTGTACTGCTCCAAGTCTGTATCCTGGCCAGACTTATGTACCACAGTTAGACTTTCTAAATAGCACATTAGGACTATGTGGGTGTTACAGGTTCCTACAATCTCAGCACCTTTATAATAATAATTGTTTATAATTTTAATTATAATAATAATTATATTTAATTTATTTTTGTGTCTGAGTGTTGCCCATGTTATGTAATTGTAATATGTGTGTGTGCCTGGTTTCTATGGTGGTCAGTAGAAGAAATCAGATCCCCTGGCACTCGAGTTACATATAGTTGTGAGTCACCATCCAAGTACTGGGAATCAAACCTGGTCCTTTGTAAGAGCAACAGATGCTCTAAAGTGTTGAGTCATTTCTCCAGTCCCTATCTGGCACCTGATTTTTCCAGGGTTATTTAATATGACTTAGAAACTAAAATCATATGTATTTAAAGTGTACAATTAGACATCTTGATATACATGTTTATTGTAATCATTGCAATCAAGCTTCTACACTTTCACCTCAGAAAATCAATATCTTAAAGATATGTTTGATCTACTGCTTTGGTTTCTGAATTCTTCACAGTAGTAAAAGTATATAAAAGACCAACCCCTTATTTTATTTTTAATCAACACAAGAAATTTCTATATATTTATGATATGTGTAATACAATTTATATATAGAATGTATGATGAGCAGATTAGGAAAATCAGCATTTTCATTTGTTTATAATTTCTGTTTTAGGAAACTTCAGTCTCTTTATAGCTACTTTTATTTTTTTAAGCATAAATAAATGTAAGAAAAGTTTAAAAGAAATGTCCTTGATTTTTATCACACAGTGTGGTGGTATGAACCAATGTGCCCATACCTGCTTCTCCTTGGAAAGAACTACCTATAAAAAAAACCACTAGGCACCTGAAGCTGGGAAGCTGGGATGAGAGACAAGCTTGGTTCAAGTAAAACAAGACCCTTGTTAATCCTCTGGGAAGCACAAGAATGTTTGGCAACCCAGTTCAAAGACTGATAGAACACACTGCTAAAGAAATAAAGCCAAATAATGCATACTTTTGAAATGAAGACAAATGCATTTTAGGTTGATTTTATCTTCTCATTTCTCTGCAGGGGACCAAGTGGCCCAGGAGTATAGTAAGTAGAATTGACATTAATCATGATAATGTACCTTCTAGAAAAGAAAAAAAAGTGAAGTTTCACATATACAAGTTATATTCACATTTCTGTTGCATTTGGAAATTATAGTCTTATTCTTCCAAGCAATTACTATGGAAGGAAGGAAGAAAGGAAGAAAAGAAGGAAGAAAGGAAGGACCAGAGCATCATGGGTAGGATATATCCAACTAGGAATAAGAAAAACAAACTCCAATGTTGTTAGGTTTCCACTCCAGCACGGTTCCAGGTCAAGCTTTTCATGGACCCCTGAAAGAAAACAAAGCAAAACAAAACAAAACAGAGGCTGTCTAGAGGAAAAGGACAGAATTAGAAACTTGAAATTATAACCAGGATTTCTCCACCGCCAAGCAGAGACTAGATCTCCCTCTATACCGGTGTCTACATTGATGTTGATCTCTCTTTGATCTTCCTGCTGCCTTCCCTCCTGCCTGCACTGTGCACCGTGTTCTGAGTGCTCTAAGGAGCCAACCTCAGGTGATGTCTAAGGACACACCCTGGAACCAAAGCCTTCAGTTAGGGCAACCGGGCAGCCAGAATCAATTGCTTTACCATAGTTTGTATCATACACAATTAACTGTGTAATGTGGACAAATGCTTCTCTGTGCTGAGTTCTTAAAACAATAGTCATGCAGACAGCTATGGCAATTTGCATTCTGACTTAACTCAACTCTTCTTTCCATACCTGCCAGTGGTAGCATAACCTTTTCCATTCTCCTTTCCTCATTCCTTCACTTGTCTTACACACACACACACACACACACACACACACACACACACACACACACACAGGCTTTGAAGTTGCCTTGAGAAATGTGTGAAATACAAAAATAACAAGGACTGTGCTAAATTAGGCAGCACATATACTAAAATTAGAATGATACAGAGAAGATTAGCATTGCCCCTGGGCAAGGATGACAGGCAAATCCACGGTGTTCCATGTTTTTTGGCCATCTCCTGTAATCAGATTAGGAACTACCCCAGTTGTCATCAGAGATCCTTCATCCAGTAAGTGATGGAAACAGATGCAGAAATTCACAGTCAAGCACCTGGCTGAGCTCAGGGAATCCTGTGGAAGAGAGGGAGGAAGGCTTATATGAGCTGGGTAGAGTAGGGGGATAAGGGTAGGGCAGTGAGGGCAGGTGGTAGGTGGTGGGGGGAGTTGAGGTCATCACAAGGAAACCCACAGTAAAAACAAACCTGGGCTCATGGGAGCTCACTGACTGTGGACTTACACCTAGGGAGCCTGCATGGGACGGACATAGGTCCTCTACATATGTGTGCCAGTTGTGTATCTTGATCTACTTGTGGGACTCCTAGCAGTGGGAACAGGGCCTGTCCCTAACACTTTGCTTGGCTTTGGGAGCCTATTTCTCATAATGGATTGCCTTGACCAGCCTTAATACAAGGAGAGGAGCTTAGTCCTTCCTCAACTTGATATACCGTGCTTTGTTGGCACCCACGGGAGGTCTATCCCTTTCTGAAAAGAAACAGAGGAGAAGTGGATGGGTCAGAGGAGCAGAGGGGAGGTAGAGGGAGCAAAAGGGAGGAGAGGATGGAGGGAAAACTGCACTTGGGATGTACAATAAATTAAAAGTTTTTAATTAATAAAAATTAACAAGGACTATATGAAGAAATTGAGGCAAAAGGAAAACTAGATTGCAAGGCTGAAAATCAGCCAGGACTGAGGTTAGCATCTAGCAGAAGAGACAGCAGTTTTGGGGAAGCCAGAAGTTCCCCCACAGACTCTGTTTTGAGCTCTCAAGAAGAGAGAAAATTGAATTAATTTCTCTGGTTAGTTTTTATCAACTTGACACAAACTAGAGTCACCTCAGAAGGAGAAACCTTCATTGAGAAATTGCCTCCATCAGATTGGCTTATGGGCATGTCTCTAGGACATTTTATTGATACTGATTGATGTAGGAGTGCCCATTCCACCATGGGTACTGCTACCCCTAGGTAGTTGGTCCTGTGTTGTATTAAAAAAGGAAGCTGAGAGAACCATGGTAAGCAAACTAATGACCAATACTTCCTATGGCTTCATTGTAATGCAAGGTTCTTTGTCCCAACCGGTCCTGCAGCCCCTGAGCCCCAAATAAACACACAGACACTATATTAATTTTGAAACTACCGGCCAATAGCTTGGGCTTCTTATTGGCTAGTTCTGTCTTAATTATTAACCCATAACTACTAATCTATGTATTTCCACATGGTCTTGGCTTACTGGAGATGCTGGACCTGCAACTCCTTTGCCTGCTACATCATGACTACTAAGCATTTCTCCAGAGAAGAGAGCAATTTCCTGTTTGTCCCTGCTTATATCCTGATTTTGCCCAGCTGTGTCACTTCCTGTCTGGCCAATCAGCCAATCAGTGTTTTATTCATTAACCAATAAAAGAAACATGTATACAGAAGAACATTCCCCATCACTTCATACTTCAGGACTTGCCTTAGTGTCTTCCCTGACTTTCCTCAATGATGGACTGTAACTTATAAGGAGAAATTAACAATTTCCTCTCCAATATCTACCATTATGTTTCACCCATACATTAACATGCAGAATTCAATCCACATGGACTCTTCTGGTTCCTGTCAGTTCCTGTCTAGAACCTACAGCTGTTTTGCTCTTTCCTTCCATAAATACTTTAAGAAGTCAATAACTTAAGTCAAATTTTGTTGTAATAAAAGGTAAAAAGAAATTAAAAAGAAAAAAATTGTTGTGACTTAAGCCTAGTTATTATTTGAGTGAACAGACGGGAGATCTGAGTAGATGCTAAGTAGAGTCTACATTGTCTTGTCGAGAAGGGCCTTCTTACTTTATCATCTATTGATAGGGAAATTAACTTAAAATTATTTTTATCATTTTATTTTATGTGTCTGTATGCGTGTGTGCACACACACATGTGCATGCGCACCCATGCATGTGTGTCTGGGTCAATGTATACTACATAGGTACATGCCTGCAGAAGCCCAAAGAGATAGTCGGATCCCCTGGAGCTTGACTTACAGATGGTTGTGAGCTGCCTAACACAGGTATGAGGAACTGAACTGGAGTTCTCTGGAATAGCAACACATACTCTTAACCTTGGAGTCACCTCTTTAGCCCTATGCCATTAACTTTTAACTGGAAAGAGTGGGCTACTTCTCCAGAGGACCCAGTAGAATCTGAGAACTCAATACTGCTGAATTTATCAACCTAGACATCTCTGTCTCATGCTTCATAGTTTCCATCCTTTTCTATCCATAGTTCCCAGAACACATATCTGTCAGGAACATGGAGCTATAGTGAATTGTGATATTCCCATATGTTATGTTTTGGAATTGATTCTCAGCTTTGTCTGCCTTTAATGGTAGGATATTTGTCACCCAATATTCTCCAAAGCAGGATTTGGTGTTCACACTTGCCTTTAATTAGATCAGTTACCTTATTGCTGTTATTTCTTCTGTGTTTCTACAGCATTTCATCCTCTAGACCTGCTCATTGTGCTTGCCACTGTCCTTGTGCTCCATTAGCGAAAGTTTTCCCTCATTCGTTGATCTGTCTGCCTTTCGTGGCAAGGGCCATTATTATTATTCACTGGATCATGGGTGACCCAGCTCCAAATCTTATTCCAAAGTACTTTTGACAACTTATAACACATCAGCTGTCACAGATCAAGTTCCTGGGGAGGAAATTACATCTTCATCAGTCTTTGTGGAAAAGAGAAGGAAATAGAGAGAGACAGACAGAGATGTATAGTGGTGAGGCGTTCACAACAAAGACCCCCAAACAACTGCATCACTTGCCCTGTATCTGAAACCAGGTCACAGTCCCAGCCTTTATATCCTCGGCCTGTGATTGGATGTGGGCCACTGTTAGAGATGGCAACATGAGCTTATGTTAGACTGTTCTCTCTAGCAGTGAATATTCTCTCCAGAAGAATTCGATTATGAGCTGTCAGTCACCACACTTGGAGTTTGGAGTCTGGGGACGGAGAGACCCTGTTGTAAAAAGGAGGAAGATGCAAGCAGAGGCTTCAGAATGTAAGTTTGATGTTTCTTTTGTGACACATCAAAAACTGATTTGTTCAAGGGTACCTCCCACTTTCTCTTCTAAGAGGTTCAATGTCGCTGGATTTATGTTGAGGTCTTTGATCCATTTGGACTTAAGTTTTGTGCATGGCGATAAATATGGACCTATCTGCAGTCTTCTACATGCCAAATCCAGTTATGCCAGCACAATTTGTTGAAGATGCTCTCTTTTTTCCATTATATAATTTTAGCTTCTTTATCAAAGATCAGATGTTCATACGTGTATGGGTTAATGTTGGGTGTTCAATACGATTCCATTGGTCTACCTGTCTATTTTTGTGCCAATACCAAGCTTTTCAGGACTACAGCTCTATAATAGAGCTTGAAGTTAGGAATGGTGATGCCTCCAGATGTTACCTTGTTGAACAGGGTTGTTTTGGCTATCCTGGTCTTTTCCTTTTCCATACAAAATTGATTATTGTTCTTTCAAGGTCTGTGAAGAATTATGCTGAGATTTTAATGGGAATTGCAATGAATCTGTATATTGCTTTTGGCAATTTTTTTGTATATTGCCATTTTTACTAGGTTGATCCTACCTATCCAAGATCATGGGAGATCTTTCCATTTTCTGATGTCTTCTTTAATTTCTTTCTTAAGACTCAAAGTTCTTTTGATACAGGTTTTTCACTTATTTGGTTAGCATTACCCCAAGATATTTTATGTTGTGTGTGGCAATTGTAAAGGGAGATGTTTCTCTGATTTCTTTCTCAGTCTGTATATAGTAGGGATACTGATTTTCTTGAGTTGGTCTTGTATCCTGCCACTTTGCTGAAGGTGTATATAAGCTGTACGAGTTCCTTGGTAGAGTTTTTTGGGTCACTTATGTAAACTATCATATCATCTGCAAATAGTGAATGTTTGCCCTCTTCCTTTTGAATTTGTATCCCCTTGATCTCCTTTTGTTGTCTTATTGCTCTAGCTAGAACTTCAAGTACAGCATTGAAGAGATATGGAGAGAGTGGACAGCCTTGTCTTGTGGTATGGGAGAACGCTTCCAGAATATAACTCTAGTAGCACAGACACTGAGATCGACAATTAACAAATGGGACCTCCTGAAACTGAGATGCTTCTGTAAGGCAGAGGACACAATCAGAAAGACAAAATGGCAGCCCACAGAATGGGAAAAGATATTCACTAACCCCACATTTGACAGAGAGCTGATCCCCAAAATTTATAAAGAACCCAAGAAGCAATTCTCCAAAACACCAAAGGATAAATTTAAAAAGTATGGTACAGAACTAAATAGAGAATTCTCAATAGAGGAGTCTAAACTGACTGAGAGACACTTAAGAAAGTGCTCAACATCCTTAGCCATTAGGGAAATGCAAATCAAAACAACTCTGAGATAACATCTCACTCCTGTCAGAATGGCTAAAATCAAAAACACCAGTGACAGTTTATGCTGGAGAGGATGTGGAGAAAGGGGAACACTCCTCCACTGCTGGTGGGAGTGCCAACTCGTACAGCCATTTTGGAAACCAGTATGGATATTCCTCAGGAAATGGGAATCAGTCTACAAGACACAGCAATTCCACTCTTAGGCATATACCCAAAAGATGCACATTCATACAACAAGGACGTCTATTCCACGATCTTCATAGCAGCACTATTTGTAATAGCCAGAACCCGGAAGCAACCTAGATGACCCTCAACTAAAGAGTGGATAGAGAAAATGTGGTACGTTTACACAATGGAGCGCTATTAAGCAGAAAAAAAACAAAATAAAACAATGTAATCTTGAAATTTGCAGGCAAATGGATAGCACTAGAAGAAACCATCCTGAGTGAGGTAACACAGTCACAAAAAGACAAACATGGTATGTACTCTCTCATATATGGATTTTAGACATGAATCAGGGGAGTGCCGGCATACAAAC